CCACCAAAAAACACTACTCACACGTGTCATCCACTCCCAAGAGGCCATGGCAATCTTCTCGGAACAGTTTCCAGATCACAGGGCGGCAGAAATCCGGCGCTCCATCAAACGCGGCGCGCGCTTCATAGAAGCCATGCGGCTGGTCTGCATGGCCAAGGGAGGACTTTCATCTACTGAGGAACTTTATTTTGTTACTGCAACTGAGTCTTTGAATCAATTGGGTCTTTGCATCAGTTGAAAAGTTGGTGAAACTGGCTCAGTAGCATTTGGCTTAGTCACTCGCTAGATGTTGCAGTAGGGCCTAAATGGTTTATGGTGGGGAGGAACTACCTGGAATCGTTGCAAAGGGCCCGCTTCACTTGGGTGCAGGTGTTAGGGTGGTTGTCATTTGCGGTCCTAGACCCTAAACACGACATACATGCACGTAATTACATATGTCTATATGGTCGTTTGCTTGTTTAACCCCATACTCCAAAAAAACTGGATGGCAAATTATGTATGCACCCTGTAGTTTCCATTTTCTCTTGCGTTATCCCTATATAACCCCCATACAATCTCCAAAATAACCAACATCCCTAGCTTTGTGCGTCATTGGGACAACTCGTCTTCAGGGATTCCTATAGGGATCCCCTCTCCGCCCGGGCCATGTTTTTGGGTTTGAGGTTGCCAAATGAACCATATAGTCTAAAGCTCCTTAAACGGGGGTATATAGGGGATTATAAAGGGGACTACTCTAGGGGTTATTAAGGGGAATACCAGTAGTTTGGACTATGGCTCAAATAGTTCTTATTGGAACATTGACGGCTTCTACTTGGGGTCAGAGGGACTTAGTAAGTACATTTATAACCTCTAGAAGCCATATGATACTTGCCCAGTTATTCTTTCTTAACCTATGTACTTACTTAGTCCCCCTGACCCTAAACCCTAAAACAGTTAAACCCTAAATCACATCGTAGATTCCATTCCTTTTTTCCATGATTACGAAGTTCCCCCCGGCCCTCCAAGCAGAAAACCTAGGCAACGAGATGACGGCAGTTGGTTCGGCTGCTGGGGAAACTGCTTCACTTACGGCTGCTGGTTCGGGGTGGAAGGCCCAGAGGTTTAGGGTTTAGGGGTCGAAGACCCAGGAACATGGGTCGTTGGTGGTTACAATAGGAATTCTGTTGTTTAATCACGGGGCACCCAGTTCTGAGAAACATCCAGTGAGGAACACCATGAGTGGAAATGCAGCTACAAGGAACATTCCTCCGAAGTATACAACACGTACTTGCAGGGTCCGAGGACTTAGTGCGTATACTTATAACCCCTACAAGCCATATGATGGCCCCAGTCATTCCCATTGTTTGACCTACTTACTAGCTTCCCCTGACCCTAAGTCCTAAACCCTAACTAAAGCAGTAGCTTTAGCTTCCTCAATTCTATTCTTCAGTACTTACTTACTTACTTACGAAGTCTTCCTGACCCTAGACCTTACCTCCTAAGCCCTAAATCTTCACTAAAGCACTGGCTTTAGCTTCTTCCTTTCTCTCGTTCATTATTGATTTACTAAGCCTGCATGCTGTGGTAAGTCCTTGCAAACCCCGTGTCAATGCGCGCTGTGGTAGTGATGTTACTCAAAGAGAATTCCTGAGGATCACCGTTATTGCCGATCACTAACTCTGCCAGGGCACTTAGGAGGCTCTATAGAAACCATGGAAGCTTTTTGCAGTTTTAGTACTGCATCCGGTATTTTGGGCTCCAAAAGTGGGGTTCTGCTTTTGAAAGCCCGTAGTTCTTCCTAATACTCCCACGTTTCTTCCCAATACAGCCACGACCCACGCAGGCCTCCTGGTGGCGGGTCGCAAGACGACTTGTGGCCAGATTGTATTAGTTCCCACCCAAGAATAAGAACCCCTCGCCAACCACATAGACGTTTGCCTGACACAGGCAGAGATAGTGATTCTTCGGGGGTGAGAGGTGTTATGACTGATTTGACGGGTGCGAATTTGACTGTCGAGGCTTTGCTAAGCTTCTTTGTGCCGTGAGTTGCGAAGCTGCTCAAGTGACAACCAGGTTTTGGGGTTTCAGGAGGTCTGGCAGTGATTTCGGAGCGCTTCCCATCTACAGTCACCCTTAATTAGACAGAATATGGCTTTCGGTACATTAGAATAAGATAGGGTGTAGGGTTTAGGGTTTACGGATAGAATATTATGGCTTTGGGTACATTTTAATATGGCTTTGGGTATTTTATAATAAGATCCCCGTATACCCCATATTCTATCTACTTAAGGGGGACTATAGCTCTAGGGCCACTGAAAGGAGTAGGATAAAACCTGAGGCGCATTCCCAGTACAAGGGCTTCATGAGAATCCCTCTTTGGAGAAATCCCTCAGAGCAGATGGTCATGTTATGAAATTTGTTCATATGCATGTATACATACACACTACCCTAAAACTCTAATCGCGAAGCCCTTCACCTTAAACCAGCAACCCGCTTACTGGGTTGGGGCAGTACCCAAGCACTTACTTCGTGGTCAGTAGGGAATATTGGTCTATAATCCCTATAGTACCCATTATATATATATAGTCCCCCTCAAGTAGATAGAAAATGGGGTATGTGGGGATCTTATTATAATCTATCCGTAGCCATATTCTATCTACTTAAGGGGAACTAGACCCTTATTCCCTACTGACCCGCAGTAAGACCAGTAGCCAAGGCAGAGCAATTCAGAGGTGCGTGAAGTTCCTTCTAGGCAAGGCTGAGGGTTTCAGGGGTTTCGGGTTTGGGTTTAGGGTTTAGGGTTTAGGGTCCAGGGTTTAGGGTTTCGGCTTGGCCTGGCAGCCCCAAAAATTAATGGGAAATAGCCCACGATCAAACAAAGACAAAAAATGGGCACTCTTGTATTGGGGTTAGTTGGAATAATGGAAAATGAAATGGAAACTGCTATAGAGGGTTGAGGGTTTAGGGTTTAGGTGCTCGGGTTTTGGGTTTGGCATTTGGGCGTTTGGTGGTCACGTAGTTGCCACCCTCTACGGCTCCTGAATCGGATATTAAAAATTCTGCATGACCCGGGGTACCTTGTACCCTGAGATAATGGTACCACAGCAAGGCCCTGCAGGATTTTAGTATCAGCGGTTGGGCTACAATGGTCGTTTTGGGGGGAAAGCTCGGGCTTAGGGGCTAAGATTTAGGATTGTACTGTAGGGACCTGAGGGTAGGATAGCTTCTGGGATGTTATTCTGCCTTGTACAGAATGTCAGTATATAAACAAATGAATCCGTAGGGCTTTTCTTGTGTTCTTCCAGCGTTCCGAGACCCTTTTTTGACCAACTGGGTTGCCGGTATGGAATGTTCATGAAGTTGCCGGTTCGGGGAATTACTTACGTACTATATCTCCATGGTATGTTGCCTCGTTTAGGTTTAATAACAGCAGCGCAGCCCAAACCCTAAAACAAAAAACCTTATGGTAGTATCCATGTTCATTTCCGCTATCCCAACATAACCCCAATATATACCCTATTAGAATGTCGTTGTTTCCATTTTATTTTCCATTATCCCAATATCACCCCAATATATTCCCCTTTGGAATGTAGTATTTTCCATTTTATCTTCCATTATCCCAATATAGCCGTAAACCCTAAAACCTAAACCCCTAAACCCCAAAACATCCCTACCCCATCAGGCAAGCAGAATGCAGATGGCGGCTGGGGGGAAGACTTTGCCAGTTGCTGGCTTGCTGTTAAGGAACTTCACTTAAGTTACTATACCAGGTTTAGGGTTTAGAGTAAACCATATTAATTACTATACATACCAATCGCTGGGTTGCTGTTAAGGAACTTAAATTAAGTTACCACAATGGGTATATAAAGTAAATAAGAGGGCTTCCCCAATATAGTAACTAAATATAAGTTCCTTAACAGCATACCAATCATGGTCACTTAATTCAAGTTCCTTAACACAACCCAGGCTGCTTCAACAGAGAGTATGCTGCGCGTGAGAAGCTGTACGGAGCCACGCCTGCAGCTATGATTGCTCAGGGGCTTAGGGTATCTCTATATGTCTATATCTAGCCACGCCTGCAACTATGATTGCTCAGGGGCTTAGGGTATCTCTATATGTCTATATCTATATCTATATCTATACATATAGATATATAGATAGATAGATAGATAGGATTCGTGGTAAAAATGGAGAGTCACACCGAAATAGCAGCTGGAAAATGACATGGAAGGTGCGAGCATATGGGCAATGAGATAGATATTGGGGGCTTATAGGGCTAAAGTGTGTAGGTTTTAGGTGTCACTTACCGGTCCTTAGCAGGGAATGGTGGAATGGATTCCTATAGTAGCCCTTCATAATATAAAGTACCTCCGTGTTCGTTTCCATTCCCTCCCCTCCTACTGCCCTGAAATCCTCGACCCTGAACCCTAAATCCTGAACCCTGAACCTCAAATCCTAGACCCTATACCCTAAACCCTAAACTAACGAAACCCCCAACCTGAAGTCCTAGACCCTGAACCCTAAACCAAGCATCAACCTCGAACCCTCCTAAGGCCTTGACCCCTCCAAGCCCGAACCCCTACATCCTGGACCTGGAGCCCTAGACCTTTCGGTTCAGGACTTAGGGTTTAGGGTTTTATGATTGAGGGTTTAGGGTTTTAGAATTGAGAGTTTACTGTAGGGTTTTATGATTGAGGGTTTAGAGCTTTAGGATTGAGAGTTGCTGTAGGGTTTTATGATGGAGGGTTTAGGGTTTTAGGATTGACGGTTTAGGGTTTTAGGATTGAGGGTTTCGGGTTTTAGGAGTGAGGGTTTAAGTTTGAAGGATTGAGGGTTTTAGGGCGTAGGGTTTCGGGTTTTAGGGTTTAGGGTGCCTAAGTTTTTGTAGCAGTCCCTGTAGTATAGGTTTCAAAGGGAAGTATGTGAACATCGCGTACTTGGATCCTTGTATTTCCAAAGGGGGTTTTGGCCACCCCAACCCCCCAAAATTAGGACCCTATAACCATCATATGATAGCCATAGGGTCCTAATGTTTGCGGGCTGGGGTTAGCAAAATCCTCTTATTACCTTGGGGTAAGCACAACTACAGACTCCAGACCAGGGATTGTGGCGAGGGTTCCAGAACAGGTGGAGACATTCATGCGAATTAGGTTTTAGGGTCTAGGTTACCCTAAAGAGTAGTTTCCATTTTCTTTTCCATTATCCCCATTTAATCCCTATATAACCCTTATATAACCCTATATAGCCCCTATAACCCTAAAGCCCATATATGGCTAGGGTTTAGGGTTTCATCAGGGCCTTAAAGCCGTCACCCTGGACACTGAAGACCTAGGACCAAACCTTAGAGTTTCACCCAAAGCTCTGAAAACTTAAAACCCAAAGCCCCGCATTCCCGAAAACCCTAAACCCTAAAGCGTAAATCCTAAGCCCTACCCCCAAAAATTTTGCAACAAGAACAGGAAGTCCTAAACCCTAAACCCTGAAGACGAAAGGATGCGATTCCGGCAGCTCCGTTGTGCAAACCGCCTGGGCCTTGCTTGCGCTGATGGCAGCAGACTGCAAGGCAGTCTTTACGGTGTAGGGTTTCAGCTCTTACGGGATTTAGTGTTCTTTTACAGGGGTTTATGTAGGGTTTACAGGGGCTATATAGGAATGTATAGGGGAATGGAAAAGCACATGGAAATTACTTTACTATAAGTTGGAGGTGTCGGGGTTAAGTGTTTATTCTCTAGGCCTTAGGGAGAGGGTTCAGGGCTTAGCTTCCAAGGTGTATAGTGTCTAGGTGGGAAATGTGAGGTTCCTGACACATACTGGCATCCAGGACAAAATGCGGCTCAAAAGGATTTCGGGCTCAAGGGGCAGGATTACCAGGACTCTCCAAAGCTGTTCCTTCGTTTGGTGTCTTATTGTTTTTGAGTGGAGATTACGATCAACCACCCAAAACAAAACATTTTCTTGGAATCTCCCGATAGCGCTTTGGGATTTCGAGTTTGTGCTTATTGCTCTGGAACTTTTCTTTTTTGCCTGAACTGAACCATGGTTGCATGTTTTACGGGGATGGCAGAGACGTACTGGGGTTGAGCAGTGGTTTTCATTTGGTTAAGAGGAGTTGTTCACATAACGTGTAAACAAAAACCTAGGCCCGAAAGATGATCAATCAGCATTGCATGACACTGACGTACCACAAATTTCAGAACCGCCAAGTCTTGTATAGTGCCTACAAGAATTTCCGCAACCTCTTTTTGCAGAGCCTCTGCACTTTGGTTGCAGGAGTCCTCTGCCATCGAGCGGGGAGTTGCCTTGCTCATGAAGCGGCAGCTGTCGTCAGGGGACTGGGCACAGGAAGCTTGCCGCAAGTTACAAAATTCGTGTGGAAGTTTCAGCGCATGCACGGCGCTCTTTATATCATTATACACTGTACACGCAAATGTTCTGCGGATGTGCATGTTGGGGTTGGGACTTCAAATCATGGGGTGGCTATCCTGCTTTTGGCGATTTCCCTCTGTCAAACTTAGGATCCTAGGCTGCTCCTGACAGAGTCAAGTCAGCCAGAGGTTTTGCAAATCCCACGATCATGCCCAAGAGCTAGAGATCCAAACCCTCCATCTCCCCGCTACATGCCCTAAATACCCACTATTTGGGACCATATACTCCTATTTGAGGGTACTAGGAGGGTCTTGGGGTTGGAAATCTCCAGCATTTAACTGTCAGCGAGCCTCTAAGGAGAACATCGCTGGAGTGTCAGGGCCTGAGTTGAATGCTTTGGATACCGCCCCCCACTCATTAACAGTTGGATTATATATTTATGATATAACTTTATAGAGCCCTGAATATGACCCGATTTGGACTGTTAATGCCTGGTCAGTAATCTTGAGAGCTGGTCTCAAGATTCTGGCTGTGCACATTTGGAAGTTTCTCGAAACAGTGATACCCTAAGGGAGCCCAAGGGATATGTAGGGCCTATCAGAGGATCACGGGGTCCCTGTTCAGGATTCTATGGGAATAACTTTGAGACAGACATACTTAGACTACTTATAGGTATGGGTTTGGAGTGTAGGGGCTGACATTCAGGCGGCTGTCAACCCTGCTCGCATTGTTTCCTTTTATCAAGGATTTAGGGCTTAGGGTTCAGGGTAACACCCTCTTAGTGTTCACTGTTCCCTATGCGGAAGCATGGTTGCCATCGAGTCTGAATTCCTCGTTCTGCCATCACCCGCCAGATAGCAAACCTTGCATAAGGACAAAGGGAAGAAAAAGAACAGGGAAACTATTGTATTATTGGGGGTCTGTAGCAGCATGTATACATCATATATATATATATGTATGGATATTTCCCTCCATGCCCTACCAGCAACCAGGTGTGGGAATGTAGAAGTACATCCATACACGTGCAAGTCTTTTAGCTTTTGGGGATAAGTGGGGATCCAGCTTTTGTGCTGGATCCTCCCATACAGACTACAGTATGGTTCCCAAAGTCTTTTTGCATTCCAGATAGGGGGGCCCTCAGTTCTTGGAAGAACCCGGATGAGCTTTAGTCTAAACTCCTAGTATCCACCTAAATAATCCCTATAATAATCCTCTATATAGACCCCTATATAACCCTCTTTAAGGAGTTTAGACTATGGCTCAGATGTTGATCCCTTTCAGCCGCCTTTGCTTGAACCTTGCCTTCGGCAAGGTTCAACAGATCCATTGGCATCACGCACCTGGCCTGACGGTCTTGGTTTTGTATTGGGAGAAGGCAAAAGAAAATGGAAACTACTACAATGGGGTTATATAGGGTTTAGGGTTATATAGGGATCATGGAAAAGAAGATGGAAACTACTGTAGTATATTGGGGTTATGTAGGATAACGGAAAAGAAAGTGGAAACTGTTGTAATATATTGGGGTTATTGCTTGTTACAGTGGGCCCCTAGTTTCGGACCAACTTCCCTTGTAACACTTATATAGTCCCAGCCCAAGAATTGAGCCATGCCCGCGCGCGTAGGAATCTAAGTATGGGTACCACAGTCAGAGAGCTCTAAATGCTTCGCTGAGGTACACGGCCTTCCGAAATGTGTTCCCTTTGTGGGCCCTCGCCCGCTTCCATACACATTATGGCCCGCAGCATGGATGCAAGCGCCCAGGCTAAGATCATGGAGAGCTTTTTTGAACTCTACGGACAGTTTAAACTCCTTACGTCGGACGTGATGACATTAGACCTGGTAGGTCCCGTTTGCCGTTAGCCATAAGAGGAATGATAGCAGTGGTAGTAAGGATGGTCTTCTCAATTTCTGCGTCGCATCCTTCTACTATCTCCTGCAAGGAGTTTGACGACAGCCCAGGTGGCACTTTCTCCAAACCATGGATCCTATTCTGGCAGGATCCTTATACTCGGGAGTCTGCGTGTAGAGGCCCCAGGCCCCGTTGCAATATGGCAGCAACGCGTACGTAGGGATCCTAACATAATTGCTAGTACTACTAGCAGGTGTGGTCTGACCTGACATCTACTGTACCCTTTCATCCATTAACTCCAGCTTCCATTGATTCGCTCATATCATTTTGAAATGTGCTTCGCAATTATTGGTGTAATATACCTAAACCCTACGTAACTTTACAGAATCCAAGGTACCCCTACATAATCCCTATAATGCCCTATATAACCTCTGTAAAGGCCCTATAATCATAGCCCTTAAGCTCAAAACCTCCAACACCCAGGTAGCACCCAGGTGCAACTGGCGGCCTTTTTTTTGAAGCCCCTAAACCTTCACCCCTGAATCCTACAACCAATAATGCCCCCACCCAGTAAGAGTCTATAATGGGGTTAAATATCAGGACCCATGCTTCTTACTCACTATCATGCTATTATTATTAGTATTATTACTACTTTTCATTATTGTCTGTAGCAGTCTGTGCCGGGGGGCTTAATATTAAGGGCTATATATGATTAGTACCAGCGCTATCACTTTTATTGCAACGATTACTTGTCTTGTCTAACTTACTGGGTGGGGGCCGTGCCCAAAGAATACGCCATCCCCTGAAATAGTGTTTAGGGTGAGGGTTAGGGAAATTTATTTTCCCAAGTAGGATGTCCAAAGCTTTCAGGGATTGTTATATGGTGTTTTTCCGAAATTAGGGGTACCTTTTCCCATGATAAGGATTATGATTATAGTATTTTCGGGTCCCCCTACTGAAGGAAACTACCGTTTGTAGCAAAAACACTCCCAGGGCCCAGGACGGGAGAATCTAGAGACCTACTACAACGAACTATTCTTGGACGCCGGAAGTTCTTCTGTAACGGAAGAGGCAACCAGGAGATCTGAATTGCCTCAGTCCTGGTTTAGGGTTTAGGGTTTAGGGCCCTAGCAGAGTCATGATAATCATAGAACAATTCTCAACCCTTCAAACCCAAGAAGAGACAGCTGAGGACCATGTACCCTTGATCTACATGAGCCTTCCTGTGATCTGGAAGGCTGCGCTCACAACGCAAAAGTCTCTTTTGCCTTGCCTCCTGTTCGTACAAGTCCTGAGAACAGCTTCTTCGGGTCAATTTGGGAATTTGGTGAGGAATTTAGGAATTTTGGTACGGATGATGTGGAGGTGTCTATATGGATTTTAGGAATTTTGGTAGGGATTATGTGGAGGTGGCTATATGGATCTGCTCTTTGATGGCCTACGGACAAGAGGCAAGTTGCGCAGCTGCTCCTAGCGTGGCCATACTTCTTGAAGGGCTTCAGGAGGATAGCAGCCCAGACCCCCAAAGCTAATAATTACATCCGGGGATGAAAGTTTTAGATCCTCCCAGGGGACTGGGAAAGGGCCTCAATGTTCAGAACGAGCCACGGGCTGGCGAGCAGCTTCTGAAATCAATTTTCCGATGTGGTCGAGTACAGGTGGTCAGCATCCGAAGTGATTGCTGAAGAAGGGCGCAACAGGGGACATGTAAGAGAGAGAGCCTCTGTGGATCTCAGCGAGGCATCCGAACACATTATCTTGTATGCTCCCAAACCCTAAACCCTAATCCCTATACCCTAAGTCGTTAAGTTTTAAACAATGTGTTTGATCTCCAGGCTCAAAGGCTGGGTGCTTGAGAACCAAAGCTCGTTTGATTCCGGCCGAGAAAGCCTTGCACAAGACAAGTCCAGTTAGCAAAAAATCATGGCGTCTAGGGCTTAGGGACACAGATATTGCCTCGCAAGAAGTCTGAACATTTGATGGATGCTAGGGTCCGTCACCAAAACCACATGGAGTAAGCGTTTGGAACCATGGGTCTTCAGTTGCCAAAGCACAAGCAAGTCTCTTCCAAATTGTGTGGCAGTTTTGGCTCCAAAGAAAACATGTTGGCCTTAGATGATCCGGCAAATGTCATAGGTTTCAGTTTCTTTTCGGGTCAGGACGACACAATTACCCCAAGGGTCCAAGGACCCAAATAATAGGGTTTTAGGGCCCAAATACTATAATATTAATGGTATCTGGACCCTAAAATCCAATTATTTGGGTCCTTGGACCCTGATATAGTCCCCATATATCTCTATGATATCCCCCTACAACCCCTTTAAAGGGACCCCATTATTTGGGTCCTTGGACCCTTAGGGTTAGTTAAAATGGCCTCCAGCTCATGGCGCTTTGCACTTCGAAGCTTCTCCGCGGTTCCTGCCGTCGTGGCAGCCACTCAGGTCTGGCAATTTTCGAAAAGGAGGAATAATGGTAACAATGGTAATACCTAAACCCCAAAACTATGTAAGATAATAGCCCTGAACCCATTATAATAGCCCTAAAGGCCATTATTCTACATACTTTTGGGGCCCAGGTACGGGCAACAAACAAGAGTAATAATAAACATACTACTAGTAGTAATAGTAATAAGAGTAATACTTGTCATCATACTAGTAGTAATAAGCGTGATCGTGATATTGGCAAAAAGTCCCCCCGCAAGGTTCCTTCCGCGGAACCTTGGGAAGGGGAGGTAGCAAGGAAACCCATGATGTTTAGACCTGAATCTGTTCGGGTCCTCGAGACCAGAAAAACTTACTGGTTCTCGGGGTAGGGAGTAAGGGAATATAATCCAGGGTTTAGGGATTAGGGTTTAGGGATTGGGATTTAGGGTTTAGAGTTTAGGAATATATAGGTGGTTATAGTAGGGATTGATAGGGGCATATAGGGATATACGGGGGATATATAAGGAGAACGAAAAAGAAAATGCATAGTTACTATTGCTGTTATTTCTTTCATATACTGGTTCTTATCCCAGCTTAGTCTTCCCCCAAAAACATGGATATAGTAGATTCCCTTAGTCCCTACTAATGTAACCCCCAGTAAGAAAAGAGCCACAATTTGGACATCGACCTAGGTCTCAGGTTCTGAAAAGCGGGTGACGGCTGTTCCTTTGAGGATGGTCTCTTGCAGCTCAAAGTCAGCAGCGACGACCAACAAAGTGAGATTCAGTCTTGTGGGTGTGTTGGGGTTGCAGGTTGGGGTTCAGGATGGGCTTTGGCCTAAGGGCTTAGGGCTTCCTGAAGACTTCTGGTCTCCAGGCGGCAGGTAGCGTCTTGCTTTTCCATCCGGTTGCACTTCAATGACTCCTGGGACAAAGGGGGACCTTGGTGAGATATGGCAGCGGGTCCATGTTCTTTCCTGTACAGGTGCTGGTCTTTCACATGGGACATGAGATATCTATACAAGCGCCTCCAAGACATGCAGCATTTCTTCACATCCCGGAATTGACATGTCCCAATGTGTCAAGATTTCCTCTTTGAGGATATCTTCTCCACTGCTTCATCTTCAATCAACACAAACTTCCCCTGTTGCACAACTTTACGAAAAAGATTCATGGGGGCACC